ATCAAAAATAAATCATATTGTCACAGTTATTTCAGGATGAGAGGTAAAACAAAGTATTCCAACTTCATAGGCTATGTAACTATATATTTTCAATACTACGGACAAAAATATAAACGTACCAAGAAATGATTCTTTTTTTCTCTTCTTTTTTCCCCTTTCACAGGGATCCTGTATTAAATAATATCGTTCACATTATTAATGAAATGTCAAAGCCCCCGCGCTTCGCGCGGGAGGGGGAAACTGGCCACGGGTTTATAGGGTTAAATTTGATGACATTGGGACATTGGCATAAATATATTTGTTGGTAATTGGTCGCAAGTTTTGTCGGTAATTGGTGGCTAGTTTTGTCAGTAATCGGTGGCCTCTCCAACCCCCCCCCCCCCCACCCTACTGAAAAAGGTCTAGCGACGCCCCTGCTACCAGCATAACAATGAACAGTCAAGGATAGGGAGATATTAATTACCAGGATTTTTAACCATCGAGGAGTTTTTTTTCAACTTGACTTGCAACTCGTGTGCATGTATCCGACGTATCGGGAAAGAATCATTGAAACATAATGTTATAAATGAAAATTAAATGAGCAGTCACAAAATTGTGATGAAAAAATGAAGTGTTTTATCACAAAACGAGTCGAGCGTCATATTTGAAAATGTTAAAGTTATACCACCTTCAGAAAATACAAACAAAAATGCCCTTCACTTGATACCCCACTAATTACATATTCCATATAAAGGAATTATTATCCCCCCCCCCCTTGAGCACCAGGGGATAATAATATTTTGATGTAGGATATAACACAAATATACACTGCTTTCTTTTCGAGGTACTGGTTGAAACTGATTCTAAGTCAATTACCCCCGATGACAATTACCCCCCGAAAAAAAATGCATAACTCTCTTATATTTTTGCCACATCTTCTTTAAAATTTCATCAATCTGCTTTTCTTAATTTTGCTGCTTTATTTTAGAGAAATTTGCTATTAAGTTGGATTTTCTTTTTAGAAAACTGTTACAAAATGTTAAAAGAATTCATGAAGAAAACAGCGTATTTAATATTTTTGTTTAACTTACCACTTGCCGGGAGCTACAGGATACAATATATCAGCAGGCTGCAAACGACTCCGGGATGAAAGTTGGGAACCAGTCAATATCATGCAAGAGTCTACTCTTATCTGAAAGAGTAATAGATTCGATTTTTTACGCGTGAACGTCAGCGAGGCAGCCCGGTTTTCCGGTTTCTTTTTTTTATTTATTTTTTTATATATCTTTCGTCCAACATTCATTGGGCTTTTGATTGGTTGAGAGCTCTTCACGAGACCGGAAATATTGTTTGTAGAAATGTGGTGTTGGAGGATGATGCTGAGGATATCCTAGTGCAAGGTTTATAGATCAAATGAATTTGGGGGTGATTGTCTTCATGATATTTCATTGTACTATGTAGTTGGTAGGTTTATTTTACTACCTGTTTAATTATCAGATATCAATGATAGTTTAAAGATATGGAAAAGGTTCTTGTAGTTTATATTTAGCAAAGCAATCTTACATAAAAAAATCACTATCAAGTGTCGGCTGCTCCGCCGATTCTGTCTGCTATACGTTCAAGGCACATAATTAGTTTTGGAGACAGTTTACTCGCCATTGTAGATTTATGCTTAGCCATCTGACACACATACAATTACCACACACACGAACACTCTCACTTCCCCTCCTCAACACACCATTTCTGCACACCCGGTTCACACATACCCAATGGCACACCCTGTAACATAGTGGAACATTCTACGAAATTGACAATTTTCCTGCAAAATAGACCCCTTGAATCATGTAAGACGTATTTTAACCTATTCTGATGACATGAATGCAAGCCAAGATAACCATGGCTGCGTTTCCATACAGAAATAAAACTAGTTTGCAATTAGAAATGAATTTTTTTTCTCGATAATTTCACAAAATATATTTGCCGCCTCATACAATATGACGTGATTGACAGCTGATTGGCTATAGTTTGGTAGTGACGTCGAACTAGCTACGTTTGTGCTAGCCTTTAAACAAGGCCACATGCCTGATAGACGACGAGCGACTAAAAAGAGACTAATCGCGAAAACCTGAATGAACACACGGTGCGAATTGTCCAGACCTGGACCTACATGCCTACTATACGTACGTGCTAAGACCACCTCTACATGGAACGAACGAAGCCAACTGGGAGATCGCCGTTCTGATAGGTCAATAAATCCAAAGTAGGCGTATTGGCATGCTAATATGTATCTATGAATAATTCATGCGGAGCAGTGAAACCCACTTTGCAAAAGGCCTCGTGACATTCGTCACTCGGTCGCGCGTTCACCCGGGGTATCTAGACTCATCTCAGCCGCTTAGCCAGAGTCACGAGGCCTTGTCAAAAGGCTACGTTTGTGCTGGCTTTGGTCCAACGAGCGAAAAACGAGACAACCAGAGCAATATGCCATATAGGAAGAGGATCTGATTTGTGATTCAAAGGGCAAAGGTCGCAGACTGAGGTCAACTTCTGAAATTACATTTCTGAAATAACAGGTTTTTAGCCTTGCCATTGCCATTTCTCAAGATTCACAAGAGATTTTTTCATTGTGATATGTCACAAATAATGCCATTTATTTCGTATACTGATTTTAGGGCGGAGGCATATACGAGACGCAGTCGCATTTGCTTTAATTGTTCCTTGATTTTTAACGCGTTGTTTCTGCGCCTGCTCTCTTCACCTAGAGATCGCATGTCATTTACATGCAATGCACTAGGTTACTTCGATTTCCCGTGTTTGTGGTGTTTTTCTCTCCATATTTTTGTTTTGTTTTAATATTCTGGTAGATCAACGAGAAGATCCAAGTAATTGAAATGCAAATTCCCGTTTATTATAAACAGTATATCTTTTCAAAATGAACGAATTTTTGTTCATTTTTCCTCAAAATTTCATCAAGCTGAGTCCTTGATTTTACTTTCACATCTCCACACACGACCACCCACATATCTGACTTATCGATCTCTGTTCTACACACGCTCTCCAGTCTCTTCACTCAATTATCATTTGATCATAAAAGGTATGACAAATAATTAAAACAAATGAAAACAAGATATGCAAATGTACTATACAATTTAATATGTACCACTGAATACAAATAAATAAATACGACTGTGTACAAATCTATTATTATTACGAAGATAAATTTATCTTCTTTATCACAGCTTAATAAGGATAAATTTATATTCGTTTAACAGCTAAACGAGGATAAATTTATCTTCGTTTAACAGCCAAACGAGGATAAATATATCTTCGTTTAACAGCCAACCGAGGATAAATTTATCTTCGTTTAACAGCCAAACGAGGATAAATTTATCTTCGTTTAACAGCCAAACGAGGATAAATTTATCTTCGTTTAACAGCCAAACGAGGATAAATTTATCTTCGTTTAACAGCCAAACGAGGATAAATTTATCTTCGTTTAACAGCCAAACGAGGATAAATTTATCTTCGTTTAACAGCCAAACGAGGATAAATTTATCTTCGTTTAACAGCCAAACGAGGATAAATTTATCTTCGTTTAACAGCCAAACGAGGATAAATTTATCTTCGTTTAACAGCCAAACGAGGATAAATTTATCTTCGTTTAACAGCCAAACGAGGATAAATTTATCTTCGTTTAACAGCCAAACGAGGATAAATTTATCTTCGTTTAACAGCCAAACGAGGATAAATTTATCTTCGTTTAACAGCCAAACGAGGATAAATTTATCTTCGTTTAACAGCCAAACGAGGATAAATTTATCTTCGTTTAACAGCCAAACGAGGATAAATTTATCTTCGTTTAACAGCCAAACGAGGATAAATTTATCTTCGTTTAACAGCCAAACGAGGATAAATTTATCTTCGTTTAACAGCCAAACGAGGATAAATTTATCTTCGTTTAACAGCCAAACGAGGATAAATTTATCTTCGTTTAACAGCCAAACGAGGATAAATTTATCTTCGTTTAACAGCCAAACGAGGATAAATTTATCTTCGTTTAACAGCCAAACGAGGATAAATTTATCTTCGTTTAACCGCCAAACGAGGATAAATTTATCTTCGTTTAACAGCCAAACGAGGATAAATTTATCTTCGTTTAACAGCCAAACGAGGATAAATTTATCTTCGTTTAACAGCCAAACGAGGATAAATTTATCTTCGTTTAACAGCCAAACGAGGATAAATTTATCTTCGTTTAACAGCCAAACGAGGATAAATTTATCTTTGTTAACAGTTCAATGAGGAAAAATTTATCTTTGTGGACACAGTTCAATGAGGATGAATTTATTTTCATCTAACAGCTATTTTAGTCAAGAAACATTGTTTTTATAGCTAAATGAATATATTGACCCTGAGAGGGAGCTATACAACATAAAGAAATTATTATTTACAATTTCACAACTTTAGACTCGATTTTAACCAGGAAAACGATCACTGAATATTGAAGGATCGCATATGCTTCCAATATGTTCATTTGAACCAAATTCATGACTCCATACCAAAACGTTGTATTACCTTTAAAGGTACTATGTCCCATTTGCAGGCCAAAAAAAAATGAAAAGGTTAAATTCCAAGGGCATTTGAAAGATAATACTAATTTAGAACTTCCTTAAAAAAGGTAGAGCTTAAAAATGTCTTCAAGTTGGAAAATAATGACTATTAGTTGTCAAATCGACTTAGGAGCTATAGAGCCAATAAGTAATAGTCTTGATTTTCAGACCATTGTACTGAATGGTCATACGTTTTATTCTGTGCAAAGATTCAATTAGTTTAATTTTGGCCATCACAAGAAGTGGGTTATTGATGTAGACAAATGCTCATGTACCCTTTACAGCTCATTTCATGTATGTTATTATCAAAGAAGAAAAAAAGCCAGTCAGTCACTCGATAGTGTCTGACAGTGAAGTCTAGCAAGTAAACAGGTTTCCTTGCATATAATTTGAATATTAGGACACTGCTACCATTTAAATTTCACAGATAGGACATACATGACATATTCATAATTCCTGCAAAATTCTACAGAATTTGAGGTTCGCTGCAAAAGGGAAAAAATACCTTTTAACTGTGTTAACAAAGATGAATTTATCCTCATTTGGTTTTACACGTGTATGTGTGCAGGCTGTGTGACCGGTTTTATTCTTTTGGACAGGACAAATATTATATTTCGCCTCTCATTCATTTGTTCAATATTCAACTTGAGGAGGAAAAAACTTCTCATTACCTTAGTTTTGCTTTTGTCTTGCCACTGACCAGCTGAAAACAAGGAACTCTAACAAACCATTTTCAAAGGACTACCAAAATTGGCATTGGGCTTTAACAAAAGCTGCATTTCTGCTTTTGAGCTTTGGTGCTGGTAAAAAATGCTAACAATTCCCTGGACTGCAAGAAGAACAAATGAAAGCGTCAGCTTATAGACCTTGTCAATCGCCAGGCCCTTTGGGTACTTTGGGCGTATTGCCAGGTGGTAGGCCAATTTTTTACAGAAGGTTATATTGCAGGGTCAATTGAAGGGTCAAGAAAGAGTGGAAGACCAAAGGCCAGAAGGATAGATCGTATAAAACCTTTACTTAATTTTCCATTACCCACTATGTACAGAATAGCGAGAGATAGAGACAAATCGTGAAAGTCACGACCCGTCAGTCGTGACAGTTAACATATGTACCTACCTAGGCTTAATACACAAGTTAGCAGGTTTCATAAGCCAGTGGGTTACATAAACATGAGCTTGCTTCACCAAGCATGAAATAACCAAATATATGAAGGGAAGTGTAAGTTGTTCCTGTCAGATTTTAGTGTACACCACAATCAAACTTAGCATCATCTTTGAGTACTTGGTGAATATTCATATAGGCCTAATGAACATTGAGGACTCCTCAATCCTCTCTCTCTCACATGATGCACCCGCAAGCCTACTGTAGAACAAAATACTGTTCTCCTTTCTCCTTCAAGTGACGCTGAATTTCCACCGGTAATTTGTTGGCTTTAGTAAGGTTGAAGGGTGCAGTTAAGACATCTTGAAGAGAGACTTCTCCTGTGTAAGGCTGATCCCTTCGTCCCTGCACTGATGTGGTGAGTGATGTCCACACGGATGTTTCTGATCCCGAGTACCAATGCAGTTTCACATGGTCTCCAGTTATGTCCAACACTTGGCCCACTTGTGGCCATTCGTTTCTAAACTCTTCTAAGTAGACCCCAACCATATCTCCCAGTTTTAATACTGGCTGTAGAGGCCTCTTCCTTTTAGGACCTAGCTGGACCTGAAATATTACAATGGGGAGCAGAAATAATCTAGTTAGCACAAGAGCAATTGAATTGAAGGACTTTTACGTAGGAGATATGAATACCATACTGATACAAATTATGACTATGATTCATGCCTATGGTGGGTATGCAGGTGTTAAATGTCAAGTGAAAACTTAAAAGACTTTTTGTATCCTAAGACATTGGTAGAAGTCAGATATCTTCAACATGAGGCCCCCCCCCCCCCCCTCCCATGATCTTAGCCGTGAAACAGTCGATCACTGCGAAAATTTGCATGCATGTTAAGTAGAGTGTATAGAATACTATTGTAATTCTTATTTTTTGAAAAATTTACTCATTTGCATATTTGTGGTAATTTATGCAATTAAGGTCATAAAATGTACATGTTTACCCATAAATCATATATCCTTTATATTTAAATTGTCCTTTTCACTGCATATACTCTTTAGACCATTTGAAATAATAATACAACAAATACATTTGGAAGAGCCAGGTTATTCCTTATGTTATCTATTGTTTTGGTGATTTCTTATGTATCTCTTTGTTTTCGTAACTTATGTATTTCATTAATTTTGTTGTTTTATTTCATTTCTAACTATAATTCAACTATTGTGACCCCCCCCCCCCCCCCAAAAAAAAACACCTAAACTATGAACAAGACCCGATAAAAAATGTTTTATCTCTTTTTTTGTTGGAAAATGATATTTCCATATGTTTTGTACACAAATCACGAAAATGAGCGATTTTCGGGCTGACATGCAAAGACAAAGGGTCATGTGACTTTATAATGGTAGGTCCGATTTAGAGGTCTATTACTGCTCATTTCACAAGTGAACTTAAAAGAAAAGTTAAAAGGTAAGTTAATTGAGCTCTCGAAACAACCCTTCTGATATAGTGAAGTCACATTAGTTATAAATATATTATAGTGAGCTGTCAGAGTTGAATAATGCATGTTGATTTGGCTACTACTACACATCTATACTTCTTACTGCTTGAATAGGTTGCTGTTCATCATTCGAGAATTCTGGAGTTGAATGAAGATCCCTTTGTGGTGTGGACTGAGACTCTTTATCCATCAATATATCCACCAGGGGCCATGTACGTGAATCTTCCGTTCCTGATAAAAAAACATGTGAATTGAAGGTCTTACATTTACATTCAAAAGAAGCATATAAAGCAGTCTAGATTCTGCATATTAAACTGTAACCATTTATGCTTGCATAAAGGAATTGGAAAGTTTCATAAATAATTATAACTGAATACATGGATTAATTGGAACCCTATGCATTTCCTTTTTTTGATGTGTACATATTTACAGAAATGGGAGATGCTGGTAATGATTTACACACTCCTTTTATTTTCATAGGAAAATTATGCATCTTTGTTCTTCTTGCCTATATTGTTGATCATGATACTTGAAAGAAGCTTTTGCAACAGGTGAACAGTTGTCCATTAGTTTATTGTGGAAACAAATATCTAGATATGTAGAGAAGATTTGGTATTTTGGTTCATTCCTTCATTTCAAGAAGTACATGTACAAACAACAATTCATATCCCCCGATCCCCAATTCTAAATTACTGCCAAAAACAAAAACAAAGCACTTGAGAAACTCACAGACCTGTAGAAAATTTAAAGGAACCCATTTCAAATTTCAAAATGTTGTTGGTGCAATATTATTGAATATGCTTTCTTGAAAACTTTCTGACAAAAAATTGTCCTTCATGTTCATTTTAAATGAAATAGAAAAATAGGAAATTGGCATCTCACTAGTATGAATTATAATGCAATGAAAAAAGCTACACTTTAACGAAAAATAAACGGGTTTCCTTGCATAATTTAATTACTAGGACACTGCAAAGGGTTACATTTCACAGATAGGACATACGTGCCATATTCATAATTCCTGCTAAGTTCTAAAGAATTTGATGTTGGCTGCGAAAGGGACATACCGGTAGTATCTTTAACCAGTAGTGTATATTTCAAGGAGGTATATTTTAACTGCCTGTTCTAACTTAATTCAAAATTTGATTTTCAAAAAATAGCTACCCCTAAAAAACATATAACCAAATGCTTAGCTGGAATATGGCTCCATGAACACATAAATTCCTTAATAAAGAAATCTCCAGTATAGTCACAGGGCTATCTATTTTTGTTGTTCCTTATTACTACTTACCATCTTCTGCTTCGAAAGAATGGAGCAGCTCCATCCATTCTTGATGTTCCGAGTCATTGAGGTACGGTAGGTACTTGGCCATGTCTCTATAGAGGTTGTTGACGTGGAGTTCCTCCATCTTTCTGCAGACAACATCTGGTGTACCGGAGGGATGTTCCGACAGGATGTGGCTTGAACCAGTCGTTGCTTGCCATGCAGAGCTGTTGCTCCATTTTTTGGTCTGGATTATGGCCTTTCCCTCGACTTTGGTGATCTTAAATTGGTGTGGAAGGCTATGGTGTGATGGTTTGTTTAATTGTGTCTGTAGCCAGTCCCTGATGTTGAAGATGGTTTCGATTCGTTCCGCAGTGGTATTCGGCTTGTTGAATGATTTTGGAATGTGGTGTAGTAGTGAAGACAGCGTAGGAATGTTATGCTTAGATGTATATGTGGATATGCGGCTAAATAGCTGATCGATGTCTTCGTGTGTGTGCCCCTTCATCAAAAAGCACAGTTTTACCTGTAATGATATAAACAAGAGAAATAAAATAAACAATGTTACAACAACTACTACTAGTATTATTATTTGATATTTTGCAGTACCTCTGCCTGAGAACTATGTCAGTGAAACCCTCAGGTCTCTCCTTCTAGTATAATTGATTGGGGTTTACAGTTGTGCAAGGTGGCTAGGGATATCTTCCTACTCCTATACAAATCTATAGTATAGGGTAATGGGGTTGTCTCCTCGTACACAGGACCACTATTATTGTTTTTTTTAATCCTATATATGTTGGAATTAATGGCAAACATGGTATTTTTTTAATCTTCTTATATACAGAATATATACATGTATATAAAGTAGACAAGTAAATCAGAAATTCTGTAAACACCGATAACAAGTTTTTCAAATTTTCGACCATAGGCCATCAGGAATGATATTTACATGTATTAAAATACCCACAAAGAGCTAGAAGCATAAAAAAGCTCCATGGATACGAGCGCAACCAGAAACCCGCAAGAGAATGAGAGAGGGAGAGGAGGGGGAGAGCGGGGGTGAAATAGAGAATGACATCATAAATATATATATATATAAGGGAGGGACATCACAATTATGACCTTCAACCTTATATAAAACAAACAAATATTGGGAGCAGCATCAACCAAATCAATAGGCTTTAGATTTTACTAAGATACACTTCCATACAAGATTGAAAGAATTCTGTCTAGAAATGTTACTGCTACATCGGCTGCTCAATCCAAAGGTAGCTTTTGCATTGATAACTCTGGATTGTACTGATGGAAAGCAAATTAACCCATTGGCTAGGATAGTTAGAGACATCATTAGCCAATGGGATAACAAATTTTATGTCCAGATTGATGCCAACTATTACTTCAATTGGATTAGTCCTCTATATTTACTTTTACCTTTTTGAACACGTCGAGTTCCACTAGAAGAGCACAGAGTCCAAGGAGACACTGATTCTTGTTCTCCCTCCCACAGTTATCCATTTGAAGGTATAATGTGTCTGGTAGCGTGGTGGAATATTTATGAAGAACCTGGAGAAGGATCGTTGCGGTAAGGTTCGAATCATGTGGGTATTCTTTGTTGTCAAGGAACATGTGTTGTCCCCTCCCATGCACTATCGTTCCGGTGATGTGTGTTGGAAGTTTCCATGCTGATGATACTGATTTGGATGTTCTGTAAAATTTGGGAATACTTGTTGATTTCTGGTCCATTCCATCAATAATGATGCTGATATACTTGTCTGGATGTTGTCTTGCTTTTTGTGCATGTTTGTAGTATTTCATTCTCTCAGTTCTGTATAAATGATACAAAAATAAAAATATGTAACTAAATATGACATGGATGAAAAGACATATTTTCGAGGAATATGATTTTACAGATACTAAATGGTAAAGAACATTGGAGAGTGCATTAAATGAAAGCTTACATGACATTTTGATACATGTATATAACATGATCATACATGTAAATGAGAGTGTAAATGAAATTTGAAAGTATTAGGGGTCATAAAACTATTACTACTGCTACAATGTACTTCTTCCACAACTCCGTTTTCCTTGAGAGTTCACCCTAATATCATTTGCTTTAAATAAATATATTAAAATCAAACAAGCATAGCATTTAAAATTTCACAAAAATCAGATGTATAACTAAGAAAGTGATGGCATTTTACAGTTTTACATTGTTTCATAAAACTGTGATATGCATAACATGAGCTCGTTCTATGAGTATTAGTACTGATTCAAACAACGGAAGCTTGCACCGCCGTCAGCAGTGGCTATATGCCTACTGGGCCGTTAGTACCGGTACGTGTGCACGCTGCCGCCCCATATCTGCTGGAGCTTTTTTGTTGTGAAAAGCGTGAATCCTCTGTAATATGGTGATTGCAAATGACCAGCAAATAATGAACCTCGACCAATAAATAAATATTGAGAAGAGGAAGATCAAGAGATGTCGTGGAAGGATAGTTATGGTAACATGGGCAGCTCTACGGGGGGGGTTAGGGGGTTTAACCCCCCCCCCCCTTGGGCTCTTTTTGGGGGAAGAGCCCCGTGGACAAAAAATTAATTTGAGACCTGTTTTCTTTGTATCACAATTAGTTAAAATAAAGATGATTTTACATGTTCCATGATGAGTCAAACCATGCTTAACATTATTGGAGCAAAAAAATGGGAATATTTGAAATTTCATATAATAAAGTACATAGGTAAGGAAAGTGAGTATGTCACATCATCAGCTCACTCATTTGCATACCGCCTATGATATGCACATCATCATTGTACAATATATTTAAAACATCCGATTTTGATGAAATTTTCACTTCTATGCTTGTTTGATTTTACTCTATTCACAAATCCAGATCAACTTGATATTAGGATTTACTTGGCCTTTTTATAATGGGGTATTTTACAGCTTCAATTGCCATTTAGGGTACTTAATCAATTCAGTACTCTACATTTAGAGTATAAATTGTAGGTTAGAAGAATCCTAAATCCTAATCAGGCTGGGGGGGGGGGGGGGGGGGGAGGGGGGAGTAGGGGGTGAATCCACAACTTTTCATGCGATATGTCCCCAGCGCTCAAAGGAGTCATACAAAAAGTATGAAACATATTTACACAATTTAATGACAAAATAAGAGATGTATGCAGGAATGTACATCAATAGGAATCAACTTGTATTTGCATTCAAGTATGGATATGATGTACTTTTGAAGGAATTTAAAAGGTTCTTACTTTTGCAGTGTAAGATGATCCTCTCTTTGTTGATGGAGTGCTTGCCTCGCTTCTTTTTCATTAGTTTTTTCGATGCTTTGCTTCAGCTGAGTACAGACATCGCATTTTGAAAATCTATTCACCTGACATAAATAAAGACCATAGAAAATATCATGAGTAATTCATCGTGTTCAAAAATAAAAATTCTTTTACAACTAGACTCTTGTTTGTTTGTATGATGTTTTCACCTTTTTATTTTAAAATCGCTACATCTTAGACATACCATTGACGAATGCATATAATGTAGTGTTTTTTAAACATAAGATATCAAGACAATGAAAGAAAAATGAGCAGGTAAGAAGGTATAATTTGTTCAACTATCACAAGATATTATACAGAAATTAACGTTGAAACCTTTGGCCATTAAGCCCTAAATTGAATGAGATAACATGCCTTCCCTAAGAACATAAAACACTTTTAACAAACTTTGTCAAAACGGTTTTTAGAAATCCCTGGGAATATATTCAGACAGATGGAAGGTAGAATGGATAACCACAGGCAGCATTTTTAATGAATCGATCCCCTTTGTGTTATATTCAAAAACAAATTATTAAGCAGATGCAGTAATTTCTCATACATATAAAATTGGCGTTGGACTCTTTTCATTCTGTTCTACAATTTTTTACATAATAGCAGTGAAGGGATGTTCCTTTGTCTACCTGAGGAACTGTATATTTTGTCCGCTTTCTTTGTCCGTCATATTCATAGTGAATACTGCCACATCCATGGCTTCACAATGATAATATGCAGAAATTGTAAGAAGATGCAAGAAACAATATCTGATATTGAACATTTCTAATCAAAAGCTAATTCTGCATTAGGAATAAATTATGATTACCTTTGGAATGGTCACATGTGACATTTCCTTCCTCCACATGCGGAAGAAATGGACTTTGCTGCAAACGTGCTCCCCATGATCCTCCATTTCTTCTTTCATTGTCTGATACACGCTGGCTCGTGTTAGGCAGGATGGCAAGTGTATTTTCATTTGTCCTGGCATTTTGTCGCCAAATCTGCGACAAAACATATCCAGCCACATCAATGCTGCAGCCACTGCTTTTGACTGCATTCCTCGTCTGTGATGATTTGGGGATATGTATGCCTTTAGTCCACCTGTAACATAGAGGTATAAGTATTGGGGTTACTTCCACTAGTACTATTACTTCTACTACTACTACTAATACTAATAACAAATATTGATTTGTCAAGCACATCAACGAGGTTGGAATCTGTGACCTCCCAGTTTGGTCTATCAAGACATGTTCTAGAATCTTAGCAATCCAATCAATCAATTGCCACTAAATGGACGTGCATTTATTATTCCCACTTAGCAAAAAATTGAAATTGATAACGCATGCTCGATATCTGCTTTCACAACATTTCATTTTGCTCAATATTGCTTTAATGAATGTGCATCAACATACGATTTGTGATGAAATGGGTGTAGTTTTATATCAATGGTTTGTCTGATTTTTCTGCTTCTATTGAAAGTAAGTTATTTTTGGAGTGGACTTGGACTTTAATGCTTGTTTAATCATATGCACTAACAAACATGAATTGTTTTTTATATTAACTACCTGTCTTTGCTAACCTAGAGAATTCTATTTATAGAAAAATATGCAGATACATGCATCTTATACTGTATATTTACCTTGGAAATGAGACTGGATCTGCCAAAGCCTTGTTCTGGGGATTCCTAAGGCTAAACGCCAACCACGCTGACAAACTTCTGTCACCCCAATACTGAAGCGGACTTGAACTGTATTCCCAGACTCTTCATGATGTTCGAGGAGGTACTGCAAGATCCACTGCCTTTGCTCACATTTGGATTTCTCCTGGAAGGCATTTCTGCTGTATGCTACCTCTTTTCGTGACACCTTGTGCAGGCAGTAATTTCTGCAGCATTTCATTCGTAGAATAGATGATAGCTCCCGACTGGAATTGTTTTCCTCTACAATTTGGAAATAGAGCATAACAGAGGTTAGCACTTTTTCTCACTTGTCATCACCATTGCCAATAAACAAATACACGGTTTATTGTTGCAAATCTCACTGTTCTCACCTCTTTCAATTGTAAAAGTAGAGATAGCACTACATGCAAAAATAGTAGGTATAAAGCATTTATACATCACATGTGCAGGAGCTTAAAGAGAATTAAGGTTGAGTTCTGGGAAGAGGTGAATACGAGCGTTATCATTGTATTGTGCAAGTGTGGAAGAACATCAGATAAAAAGTGTTCCCTGAAAAAGCATGGCTCTTCAAATGCCTTAATATTCTAAATGTGGCATGTAACATCATAAAATTTGGGACAGATTTTTATGCCACATGGTCGTGTGTAGTTCCATATACATCTTTCTGTGTACAGTGCTTGTAACTTTACCAAGACTGGGCCAAATTTCTTATCATTCTGATGATTCCAGAACCTTGCAGTACAACACCAATACTTATATGCTAGATGATCAACCTTTTCTGATCGATTCCACAACGTTTCTTTCACAATGCAATCACTTGACCAGAACTCAACTTTATCTTTAACATTTAAACATTTGTTTTGTTCAATATTTCTGACTCTCTACCCTAAAACGACCAATACGTCACTATGGGAATTGTGATGTAAAAAGCCAAAACAGAGTAGAGTTGATTTTTTTAAAAGGTAATAATTCAATCCTAAGTATTATCTGTACAAAAATTGAGGGTCATATACATGTACATGTTTTTATTTTTCTTTGGTTTAAAATGGTGTGCCCAGACTCATTATTAGGCAGAAACTCAGATACTCTAAATCTTATTCATCAAGATGGCTTAAATTAATGACCATAACTCAAAGAAAGGTGATGTTAGACTCTCAAACTTTGATGCATCAAAGGATTCTAGGTATTCAAATGTTGTGTAAGTTTTATTAGCTAGAGTCATTCACAATGGTAGCCAAGGATGTTTAATTTAATATTTTTTTGCTGTATGTCAACGGTCCAACCCTTTGAGACTTTTTTTCCCTTATTCTGAAGAAAAAAAAACCAGCCTGTCTGACTTTCTCACTTTTATTTCAAAGAGTTTTCTTCATTAAGACATAGCAAGACACATCATTTTAAAGCTAAGAATCTGTTCCTTACAACTCAGTTAAAAACAAGAAAAATGAAATTACTGGCTTATTGTTTGTTTTGTGGTGGATGGCCAAATTTGCATTCTTCAAATAAATCCTATAAAACAGACATAAAAACTTACTTCTTCTCTTAACACTGGATGAAACAATACTGGCGCAAGATGAATCTGAACTGCCATCAATAAAATGAACACGAGTGCGTTTCCTCCCACGTAGAGCTGCAAAAAACAGAAAACAATTAAATTGCAGTACTGCTAAAGTTAAGTATATCAACTTTGGGGTTTTGGTTAACTATAAGGAAATTGCATTCCACGTCCAGTTAAAATTTTCTCTAGGAAGGTTTTTTTTTGTTTTGTTACACAACCAAGTACTTTCCCTATTTAGTGTCAAAGTCACATCTTATTTGCAAAATTTAATTTCCTCACCCTCGTTCTTCTCCTTGTTACAATTAAAATACATGGATCTATCCCTGAAGTTTGTCACATCAGGATAGCTAGCTTAGACAGAAAGGATTAGAATTTCATCACAACACTGATTTATATTTAAATATTCAATAAGTTTTTCTTCAGACATCACTGGTCAAAATGTTGTGTATATTATGCTGCTATGTCGCTTCCAATAACCATAAACTGCTTACCAAAGAATTGTGAATTAAAAAAATGAACCTTTAACTATATTCCAACTGGGCTTCTCAAACAGCATTTGAATGGGGTGAGGGTCAATTTGAACCCCCCTAAAGATCTTCTGCCATAAAAGGACAGATCGGTATAAAAAAAATTAAAAATCCACAATAAAATAATAAATATTATTGTTTGAAAAAAGAACGTTTCTCCATGAGATGTATATCTTCGGTAATTTAAGGTGTAAATTGTTTCTGCAAAAAAAAAAAAAAAAAAAAAAAAATTGTTATTCATTATTAAAATTAAGCAAATATGATGCATATTTTCATTCGGATAAGGTGAATTGAGGCCAATTTTGTTGTAGGAATTTTGAGAAAATCGTTTTGAAACATCATAATATGTGCAAAGTTGCCAAGCTCAAATTCATTCTTATGTATTTTTAATTTCTTATTCATTATATTTTTTTCATTCCCTATACTTATATTATAAAATAATGTGCCACAACTCCACTACCCTTTGTATAATTATTGCAAACTTGGTGTCAAAAGATGTGTGAAGCTTCAAGGTAAAGCACATCGCGATACGCAGAAAATCCAACCTTAACCCTATATAGCTGGGGGTGGGGGGGGGGGCAAGCCACATTTTCACATTCTACATTTTTCGCGATAATTTTTTAAGGCAAACAAAATATTGCGCTTAAATTTTATAACTTTTTTCTTTCCAGTGTTGCGCATCTTTTGAAACAAATTTTTGGAAAATCAGACCTACCATTACAAAGTCATGTGACCTTTTGACTTTGGATGTCAGCCCGAAAATTGCTAATTTTTGTACGAAACATATGGAAATATCATGTTACCAAAAAGAAATAAAACATTGGTTATTTGTTCTTGTTTCATAGTCTAGTTTCTATTTTAATTTTTGTTTCCCTTTTTTTGCATTTTGGACTGTCCTCACCCCCCCCCCCCCCCCCCTTGCTACATGTACATGCCCGGCACATAGTCAACCGTTTGTACTACTTTAAATTACCTGTAGCATCCTGTAAATCAATCTCTGATATAGCTCCTCCTTCAGGGTCACTACCTAAAAGAATTAATGTTTAAAACTTCGATCACATTCAAGATAATATAATTTCAACTGTACATTTAAAAATTGTGCCAAATAGTAACTTGGAGACCATTCAGCAAATACCTTTCTTTAGTTCTCCCCTAATTAAAAAAGATAACAAATTTATGAGTCCAACTTTGCAAAATGTATAAAACACAAAAATCTGACACAAATCAGGCAGATTGGAGGTCAATACAGGATGGCCGCAATGACAGATTCTGCCTAGAGGGTTAACATTTCATTCTACTATATAGTAATCATCAATCAGTGATAGGAGTCTACTTTATATACAGCCTTCTCATTTGAATTGGGATTTAAACCCCCAAAATAACAAATTAATTCAATAAGGCCATTGTTGAGATACATACCTACATGTACATGTATATATATCTCAATACCTACAGTATGTGTAAGCCAAATATCTACAATATATGAAAATAATGATTTCAATATTATAAAATAAGTGTCGATGTAAAAGTGTCTACTTTTTTCTGATACTCCTGAACACGTATAAGCAACCTTTAGTACATCCATGCATCCTCCAAACTATACATATACACACACACTGTTTTGTTTTCATTTATGCCACTTCATTACTGGGGTATCATTTGAAATAAACAAAGTTTAAAGGTTTACCTAGTACTTTGTAAGTAACATCGACTTCAGAAAGGTAACAATCTGACTCGCTAATGGGCAAATCTACTTCTGTGAATGAGCAATCTCCAGAGTTAGGTTCATCTAAACAGAAGAGAAAAAATAAGGAGAAGCAATTTAAAAAAAAGTTCCATCAAAATCTGTTAGAAAATGAGAGAATTATATATGGCAGTTTGAAAAGTCTCTATTTACTTTCTATGGCAAGTCTTGCGCATCTTTTGAAACAAATTTTTGGAAAATCAGACCTACCATTACAAAGTCATGTGACCTTTTGACTTTGGATGTCAGCCCGAAAATTGCTAATTTTTGTACGAAACATATGGAAATATCATGTTACCAAAAAAGAAATAAAACATTGGTTATTTGTTCTTGTTTCATAGTCTAGTTTCTATTTTAATTTTTGTTTCCCTTTTTTGCATTTTGGACTGTCCTCACCCCCCCCCCCCCCCTTGCTACATGTACATGCCCGGCACATAGTCAACCGTTTGTACTACTTTAAATTACCTGTAGCATCCTGTAAATCAATCTCTGATATAGCTCCTCCTTCAGGGTCACTACCTAAAAGAATTAATGTTTAAAACTTTGATCACATTCAAGATAATATAATTTCAACTGTACATTTAAAAATTGTGCCAAATAGTACCTTGGAGACCATTCAGCAAATACCTTTATTTAGTTCTCCCCTAATTCAAAAAGATAACAAATTTATGAGTCCAACTTTGCAAAATGTATAAGGGTGCGTTCAAGCGATTTTTAGAAGCTAGAATCACATACATGAATCACAAATCAAAACGCCGTTACAAAACAAGGTCACTGCGGGAAAGCGTTCAAGCGACTTTCCATTAACGCTCATTTCGAGCCCAGCCACTGCGCATCACAATGCCCAGTTTGACCCAGGAAGTATAGGTCAACTTCGGTGCGCGCTTTCTAGAATTGTTTACGGCGACAGTCGACTGCTGTTTTGAGCATAATCGCAATAATAAAACAAAGATTGAGATAGTGATAGAAGGAAGAAACAAAGAATAAAATAAGGAAAGACAGAAAGAGAAAGTCGATAGAATGATTAAAACAAAGAATAACATAAGGAAAGGTGATAGAAGGAAAAAACAATGACAGATTCTGCCTAGAGGGTTAACATTTCATTCTACTATATAGTAATCATCAATCAGTGATAGGAGTCTACTTTATATACAGCCTTCTCAATTGAATTGGGATTTAAACCCCCAAAATAACAAATTAATTCAATAAGGCCATTGTTGAGATACATACCTACATGTACATGTATATGTCTGAATACCTATGTGTAAGTCAAATATCTACGATATATGAAAATAATGATTTCAATATTATAAAATAAGTGTTGATGTAAAAGTGTCTACTTTTTTCTGATACTCCTGAACATGTACATGCACAGTACATTACACACAGTGCCACTTGTAAATACATGTACATGTAAGTACCAGTAAGCAACCATTAGTACATCCATGCATCCTCCAACTACAGTATACATGTACACACACACTTTTTTGTTTTCATTTATGCCACTTCATTACTGGGGTATCATTTGAAATAAACAAAGTTTAAAGGTTTACCTGGTACATGTACTTTGAAAGTAACATCGACTTCAGAAAGGTAACAATCTGACTCGCTAATGGGCAAATCTACTTCTGTGAATGAGCAATCTACAGAGTTAGGTTCATCTAAACAGAAGAAAAATAAAATAGTAAAGTAGATATTATTAAATAGTAATCATCAATCAGTGGTAAGAGTCTTATACCAATTACCATATATACAGCCTTCTCCATTGAATTGTGATTTAAACCCCCAAAATAATAATTTAATAGCACTAACATCATCAACATCTGTGACCCACCACTTCAAAAACCTACATAATTAATATTTCTTCTAAAAAAATACATTTTCTGAAAAAAAGAGATTCTCAGCTTTCAAATGGTATATTACTTGTCTCAAGTCCTCAATGGTAACATCCTTCAATATCACATAATGTAACTATCAATCAATATATCTCAAGTTCAGAGAAAAGGCCATTGAAGTTTTGAACCAGACTAGTCTAATAGCTCTCTTTATGCGACCAAGCTAAACAGGACATTCATATCATGTCCATAGCAACTGGTATGAAGGGATTATCAGACAAAGTTAAATTTTTTCTCACCCCAAAAGTGGGACATATTCTTTACTTCCATTGAAAATCAATGTGATGACCTTGTGTCGACTTTTTTCTGATACTCCTGAACACGTACATGCACAGTACATTACACACAGTGCCACTTGTAAATACATGTACATGTAAGTACCAGTAAGCAACCATTAGTACATCCATGCATCCTCCAAACTATGTACACACACACTTTTTTGTTTTCATTTATGCCACTTCATAACTGGGGTATCATTTGAAATAAACAAAGTTTAAAGGTTTACCTGGTACTTTGAAAGTAACATCGACTTCAGAAAGGTAACAATCTGACTCGCTAATGGGCAAATCTACTTCTGTGAATGAGCAATCTACAGAGTTAGGTTCATCTAAACAGAAGAAAAAAAAATAGTAAAGTAGATATTATTAAATATTATTAAATAGTAATCATCAATCAGTGGTAAGAGTCTTATACCAATTACCATATATACAGCCTTCTCCATTGAATTGTGATTTAAACCCCCAAATAATAATTTAATAGCACTAACATCATCAACATCTGTGACCAACCACTTCAAAACCTACATAATTAATATTTCTTCTAAAAAAATACCTTTTCTGAAAAAAAAAGAGATTCTCAGCTTTCAAATGGTATATTACTTGTCTCAAGTCCTCAATGGTAACATCCTTCAATATCACATAATGTAACTATCAATCAATATATCTCAAGTTCAGAGAAAAGGCCATTGAAGTTTTGAACCAGACTAGTCTAATAGCTCTCTTTATATGCGACCAAGCTAAACAGGACATTCATATCATGTCCATAGCAACTGGTATGAAGGGATTATCAGACAAAGTTAAATTTTTTCTCACCCCAAGAGTGGGACATATTCTTTACTTCCATTGAAAATCAATGTGATAACCTTGTGGGTACGGTAAGTGGCTTAGTGGGCATTGGCTTATACTAAAGCTCTCAAATACTCACTTACTCCAATCTAAGGTGAAAATAAGGTGTCATTTTAAACTGCTTAAAAAATATATATTTCTGACTCAAGAAGTTAGGGATTGGTAGAATAATGATGAAACTATCCATTTCTATAAAAATCAGAAAATTGAATGATCAATTTGGATGAATCCTAAATGTTCCTATTAAGCGCGTATTCAAATATTACATTTCATTAAATTTTGGGAGAACTAAGGTGTAAATTTCAAATCTTTTTGAAAATTACATTTTTTTTTTTTTTTTAATCATTCCTTGTCGGTTCCTTTCCTTCCTACATTTTCGATAAGTTTTCATTTTTCTCTTTCATTTTTGTTTCCCTTTTTTTGCATTTTGGACTGTCCTCACCCCCCCCCCCCCCCCCTTGCTACATGTACATGCCCGGCACATAGTCAACCGTTTGTACTACTTTAAATTACCTGTAGCATTCTGTAAATCAATCTCTGATATAGCTCCTCCTTCAGGGTCTCTACCTAAAAGAATTAATGTTTAAAACTTCGATCACATTCAAGATAATATAATTTCAACTGTACATTTAAAAATTGTGCCAAATAGTAACTTGGAGACCATTCAGCAAATACCTTTCTTTAGTTCTCCCCTAATTAAAAAAGATAACAAATTTATGAGTCCAACTTTGCAAAATGTATTACCGGTAAACACAAAAATCTGACACAAATCAGGCAGATTGGAGGTCAATACAGGATGGCCGCAATGACAGATTCTGCCTAGAGGGTTAACATTTCATTCTACTATATAGTAATCATCAATCAGTGATAGGAGTCTTATACTTTATATACAGCCTTCTCAATTGAATTGGGATTTAAACCCCCAAAATAACAAATTAATTCAATAAGGCCATTGTTGAGATACATACCTACATGTACATGTATATATATCTTAATACCTACGGTATGGTAAGCCAAATATCTACGATATATGAAAATAATGATTTCAATATTATAAAATAAGTGTTGATGTAAAAGTGTCTACTTTTTTCTGATACTCCTGAACACGTATAAGCAACCTTTAGTACATCCATGCATCCTCCAAACTATACATGTACACACACACTGTTTTGTTTTCATTTATGCCACTTCATTACTGGGGTACCATTTGAAATAAACAAAGTTTAAAGGTTTACCTAGTACTTTGTAAGTAACATCGACTTCAGAAAGGTAACAATCTGACTCGCTAATGGGCAAATCTACTTCTGTGAATGAGCAATCTCCAGAGTTAGGTTCATCTAAACAGAAGAGAAAAAAGATAAGGAGAAGCAATTAAAAAAAAGTTCCATCAAAATCTGTTAGAAAATGAGAGAATTACATGTATATATGGCAGTTTGAAAAGTCTCTATTTACTTTCTATGGCAATTAACAAATTGGCAATATTACTTCAAAATGGCAAGCTTTTGTGGACTTGTACTAAATTTTTGACCATATTAGAGGTGTCGTGGATGAGTGGATACGTCGCCGGACTGACGATCACAAGGTACGCGGTTCGAGTCACGCCGCGGCACTAATGTCCTTTGGCAAGACATTGATCTACATTTGCCACACTCCACCTAGGTGTTAAATGGGTACCGGTAGGAAGGAATTCCTTAAAATGCTGTGAGCGTTGATATCGGCAGCCTAGCATAGCCGGTAATGTTGGAGCGCCTTGAGGACCTTTGCAAGGTCAATACGTGCGCTATATAAGAATCCAATATTATTATTATTATTATTATCTCGCAAATTGCAGCATGTCTCCTTCTTTGCTCAAGACATATCATGGGAAAATATATTTTACACAACAAATGTTGAGTTCACAAAGAGTAAAGCCACAACTTGAGAGATAATTGAGAAAATCTGAAAATTGTGGTACCAAACATCCTGGCTCTGTTTAAATTATATAGATGCATACTAGGTGAGGTTTACGATGGAAAAGAGGCATAAGGTGAGACTCTAGATATTTTCAAACAGGAAACATGAGTTACCCCTCTCCCTAGGGATGGGGGGGGGGACAAGGGGCAGCACCCCAAACTACCCTTTGATATTTATAATTTTCTTTATTTTAAATAACGTGTGATCTGATGGTTACTTTATTTACTAGGAATTATTCTTAAAGCTAGTTTTTTTTTTGGGTAAAGATTTAAAAAAACAATTAACGGTATATCAGACTCTAATAATACATTAAAATCCTACGAACAGTTAGTGATTGATACATCAATTTTTTTATTACTGGTAATGGAATATTCACAAAAAATTGAATTTCGACCATTAGATCAGATTTAGCGCCCTCTCTCAGCGTTGTTATTATTTTCCTTAATATAAGCCTTCAGAACAATTGTCTTATTCATGTAGATTTTGCTTGTATGTTATAAAGCTAGGTACAGATTGTATCCTAAAAATTTCCTTTCAATTAATGCTTGTGATATGGTTTTATAATTTATACCAACAAAAAAACAAGTGAAACGCTCTTTGCGGTCTTGCCAGCATTACGCAATTTGATCTGATGAAATATTGGTTGGGACATTATTTATAGGCAGGATGGCTCATTTGCAGGCCTCCCAAAATGATATCCTCTGAATATAATCAGCATTTGGAAGTGAATAATATGTTGACTAAGAATCAATATTTGAATATTCAAATAATTTTCCCAGGCTTGGTACATACAGTACATGTACATTTATAGTTGTACATGTATACCATGATAGAACAGACCTCACATTACATTATTTTCATGTTTACCAATACGGATCGGAATATAACCACTAATTAATTGGCACCATTCATATCGGGTTGCATAACAAACTACTTTAGTACTTTGCACAATCACCTGCAATACAGTTTTACATGACCTAAAATTAATGTTGATCCTAGAGGCAATATTGCCATAGAGACAATGCCATACACAATTTGTACCAAGATTGATATTGATGACTTTCATGAAATATGAACAAATACTAAAAATTCATTTATTAATTCTCATACCCGGTATTAAGTTTTGAAGAAAAAAAAATCAAAGGCTACGGACCTCAAAAGACTTTGACCTTGACTTAGTGACATGGAATTTGTGTCACATGATTGTGACTTAACAACCCTTGGAAGAAGTTTCATGAATTTGAACAAAACTTTTGACATGTTAAAAATTCAAAATCTTGATGTTGATGCCACGATAAAGTCTAAGTTTGCAGACCTGAAATGACCTTTGTCACCTAAATTCTAATAACATGATTGGTGATACTCAGAGCTGCCAACTTCTAGAACAGAAAATCAGTAATCACAAGGCTCAAAATCAGTAATTTGGGGAATAAATCAGTAATTTCCTATGCGGTGCTATATGAATCTTTAAAGAATGGCACGCCAACACTGCGCAGGTGGAGGGCATGATTATCTGAATTTTTTTGTGATTTTACTCATACAAAGTTGTAAAATATTGATTTTCAGAATTTCAGGTCATCACAACACATCAATTTTCAATGAAAAAAATTGGCTTCTATTTAGAGAATACTTGATACTTTTCCGTCTTGCTCAGCGAGTGTTGGATGGCCGCCATACAAAGGCATACTGTACAGCACTCGCTACGATAAATTTTTTTTTTCCTTTTTCCTTTTTTTTTTATTTTAGACAACTTTCCGTACTGCCGTAATGATCGTTAATTTCTGTACTAATTACAGGAAATCTGTACTATAGTTGGCAGCTCTGGATACTACTCGATATGTTCAAGTTTCATGGAATAGGAATGTATATTTTCAAAATTATGTTAAATATTCAAAATCTTAAACCTTATCATTTGGTTGCATATGTACATGTACATGTGTGAGATCATCTGATATTCCACTCATGATTTCTGGTGAATTTCAGTGTACTTCTGAAATGAGCGCAATATGTAACAGTTACTTTTTACCAATATGCTAGGACTCTTGAACCCGACCTATTCCCCCAACAGAGCGATTACCACGATCCATACACTCTCTTCAGGCAAACGGAACTCTCATTGGTGTTACACGTTCATTATACGTGTGTAGGCTAGTGAGATGACATCCCTGATTTACATTACCCAGAATTGGCGATATAACAACAATTTTAACTCTGAAAACTTGCGCTCTTTCTCCCTTCCTCTCTCACGCTTATCTCCCCCCCCCCCCCCTCTATCACCCAGTCAAGGGGAGCTGGGGGGGGGGGGGGGGAGGTTACATTGGACAGTGCTAGTGTTTACTTTAGGCTTACTGCTCTAGAAGTGGTGAAAGTCAAATGGGGGCTTCAATTTTAAACAACAGGTTTTTGTCATGTACAGTATAGAGTACCGAGGCTGTGACGTCATAAAAATCTATTTTTAGAATTTCTAAATGTTTTCTTCATTTTCCAAAAGAGCATCAAAAATAATGACCACATGTCAAAAAACAATTTAATATGTTAAGTATTGGCTGAGATAAAACCATCTGAATAAATATATGTCCTATGGGAACTCAATGTTATATGCTCTGGCTCCTAACCATTAACACCACAGCTAGCATGCTACAGACGCGCTGAATACAAGAAACTCTAACGCACTGTTTTTCAGGGCCTACCAAAACTAGAATTGGACTTTCGGGTCTTTTTGGTTTTGTTTTGTTTCAGGCAAATGTGTTTCAAATCAAGACTCTTAACTTCAGATGTTCAACACATTCATTACATTGTTGAGAACATAGACCTAGCACAACTGTACACAGCATGAACAAAAGAAAAAAATCAATACCCTCCTGGGCACAACTTCCTGCCTTGCTATTGTCTCGTAATTAGAAGGTGTATCAGCCTTTCTGACCCAGTTTGCAGTATTTAAAGATTTTGTTCTGTAACTTCTGTTTAGCTTCTGTAATATTAAAATGCAGCAAAACTACAACATAAAAAACTAACTATTAAACTATCAGGTGGGAAATGTGGATTAGCTAAGAAAAAGAAAGAATGGAATGAACTGGGCATCTTTCTGACTTCATTATTGTTTTCTTTTCTTTGTTTTATGTTTAAATGTTTGTTATAAATTCATATTATGTTTTAATTGATTTGTATATATATCATGTTTTTTATTGTGAATTTGAATATTTGACTTATTAAGTCTTATTTCCTCTATATTTGAACCGTTCACACTTAAAATTGTAGCCAACGATACCGCTTCGCACCTGAGCACAGATCGATAGGTGAAATCAATTGGAATTATGAATGATATAGACAATAAGCAGGAAAGTGTACCGTCCATGTTTGCAGTATACATGTAGCTTTCTTGTCATGGTGGTTTTGCAATGGTTTTGCAATTTTTACTTTGGGGGGGGGGGGTGCTTTGCTACCATGGAAAATCGGCAAAGACCTCCAAAATTCTTCTCTGGTTATACAATGAAGCAAATCTTAAGTGGGTAGGAGTGGATTTTTGAAGATTTGAAGCAGTTTATGACTCCATGCTGATGTTTTCTATAAGTGAACAATCCAATGCTAATAACGATATAAATATATATTATTACTATTACTTTCTGGTCTGTTTGGTTTTGTTTCTGGCAAATGTGTTTATCAAATCAAGACTCTTAACTTCAGATGTTCAACACATTCATTACATTGTTGAGAACATAGACCTAGCACAACTGTACACAGCATGAACAAAAGAAAAAAAATCAATACCCTCCTGGGCACAACTTCCTCCCTTGCTATTGTCTCGTAATTAGAAGGTGTATCAGCCTTTCTGACCCAGTTTGCAGTATTTAAAGCTATTGATCTGTTTAGCTTCTGTAATATTAAAATGCAGCAAAACCACAACATAAAAAACTAACAATTAAACTATCTGGTTGGAAATGTGGATTAGCTAAGAAAAAGAAAGAATGGAATGAACTGGGCATCTCTCTGACTTCATTATTGTTTTCTTTTCTTTGTTTTATGTTTAAATGTTTGTTATAAATTCATATTATGTTTTAATTGATTTGTATATATATCATGTTTTTTATTGTGAATTTGAATATTTGAAATATTAAGTCTTATTTCCTCTATATTTGAACCGTTCACACTTAAAATTGTAGCCAACGATACCGCTTCGCACCTGAGCACAGATCGATAGGTGAAATCAATTGGAATTATGAATGATTTAGACAATAAGCAGGAAAGTGTACAGTCCATGTTCGCAGTACATATACATGTAGCTTTCTTGTCATGGTGATTTTGCAATGGTTTTGCAATTTTTACTTTGGGGGGGGGGGGGTGCTTTGCTACCATGGAAAATCAGCAAAGACCTCCAAAATTCTTCTCTGGTTGTACAATGAAGCAAATCTTAAGTGGGTAGGAGTGGATTTTTGAAGATTTGAAGCAGTTTATGACTCCATGCTGATGTTTTCTATAAGTGAACAATCCAATGCTAATAACGATATATTAATAGGACTTTCGGGTCTTTTTGGTTTTGTTTCAGGCAAATGTGTTTCAAATCAAGACTCTTAACTTCAGATGTTCAACACATTCATTACATTGTTGAGAACATAGACCTAGCACAACTGTACACAGCATGAACAAAAGAAAAAAAATCAATACCCTCCTGGGCACAACTTCCTGCCTTGCTATTGTCTCGTAATTAGAAGGTGTATCAGCCTTTCTGACCCAGTTTGCAGTATTTAAAGCTTTTGTTCTGTAACTTCTGTTTAGCTTCTGCAATATTAGAATGCAGCAAAACTATAACATAAAAAACTAACAATTAAACTATCAGGTGGGAAATGTGGATTAGCTAAGAAAATGAAAGAATGGACTGAACTGGGCATCTTTCTGACTTCATTATTGTTTTCTTTTCTTTGTATATTATGTTTAAATGTTTGTTATAAATTCATGTTACGTTTTAATTTATATACATTGTATCAGTTTTTTATTGTGAATTTGAAGAATGAATATATCAAATCAATCAAAAGATAAATAAAGGGAAAGAATTTATTAAATGTAGAAAGAACAAAAGTTATAAAAGATTGACAACAAATAAGAAATCATTAAGAAATAAGAATTGCAGACGTGTCAATACAAATATTATTTCCCTATATAGCCTTCAAATTTAATTCTCTGTTCTTTATCTGTTTATTTTTGTCATTCCATTTCGTCTTGATCTTCAAAAATTCTAATCATATTTCATCTTTTCATTTATTACGATTTTTCTTTTCATTGTCCTCTATCATCTACATCTTTGTTTTCTTACAGTTACAACAATCTTTTTTAAAACATTTGTTTGATATCTTTAGCTCTTTCTATAAATTTATTTTCAGCTTCTTTCCTCTTCTCTATTCTGATATTATTCTTTGGAATTCATATTTTTCTATTTTTATGTCAATTGTGAATGCTATGGTAATCTTGCATACACCTGTACATGCCTATAATATTTGATTTTTCTGTATTCCTCTTTCCATATATTTTTATTTCCCATCAATCCAACATCTCAACCTTTAACAAAACTCTTTTGATATTATTTCCATCCGATCAAGTGTAATTTTAATTCTTCTCTTTTCCTTTTCATTCAGTTTTCAACTATCTACAGTACATGTACATATGGAATTTCCTTTATTCTCCTTCTTTCTGCTGTATAATGTAATTTCTTTTTGGTACATATATATATATTTTACTTTACTTAATTTACATTCATGATATTCAACATTGTTCATACTTGCTTTCCTTCATATCTAACCCAGACCCACATGTTCTTCTTAGAACTGCAATATCTGAATTGTAAAATGTTTCACAGTGGATTAAATCCAACAAATTGTCAATTAT